AACTCGTCGCCCAAGAGGAGCGCTACCAGAAGCAGGTGGATCAGCTGACCATCTCCCTCGCCGAGAAACAGCAGGAGCTCAGCAGACTCACTCAGCAGCTGGAGGAGGTGAAGCGGACTTATGTGGACCCCGTGGAGATGCAGAGAAAAATGGACGAGATGCAGCTTGAAGTCCGCGAGCAAGTTGGCCAGTCGGAGAGTGAGTAGTTTGTTTGTTTGTTTGTTTGTTTGTTTTGGGGTGTGTTCATGTGCTTTGATTATCTAGCGAGAGGATGTCTGTCTGTCAGTCTATTTGTCTATCTGTCTATCAACATATCTATCTCTTTATCTATCTATATGTAAATGAATTTATAGATAAATCCAACATATCTATCTCTTTATCTAACCAACATATATATCTATCTTATCTATTATCTATCTCTTTATCTATCTATATGTAAATTAATTTATAGATAGATAATGGATAGATCTAGATAAATATATAGATACAACTAGATAGATATATAAAAAAAAAGGTAGATTGAAAGTGATCTATGATTAAGATAGATAGATAGATAGATAGAGATAGATAGAGAAGAGGAGAGAGAGAGAGAGAGGAGAGAGAGAGAGAGAGAGAGAGAGAGAGAGAGAGAGAGAGAGAAGAGAGAGACACAGGCGAGAAAAAGAAGGTATAGAAATGGAGAGAAAAAGAACGAAAACGAGTAAAGTAAAAATAGAGAAGAGAGAGCGAGAGCGAGAAAGCTCATCGATCCGCGAGTAGAAACTAAAAAAAGAAAGAAAGAAAAGAAAGAAAGAAAGAAAGAAAGAAAAACAAACAAACACAGAAAGGAGGAAGAAAAAAAGTCAATTAAGATGAACAGGTAACGACCGGAAGTAACATAAACAAGCTCCTACGTAGTTTTTCTTGTTTATAATGAATCAATATCTTTTAACGGGAGTACAGTTTGGTTGGGGTCCGTTCGAGTATAGGGGGGGGGGTAGAGGAGGGGAGGTGGGAGGAGGGAAGGGAGGGGGGGAGAGGGGAAGGGAGGGGGGGAGAGGGTAGGGGGAGGTGGGAGGAGAGGAAGGGAGGGGAGAGGGAAAGAGGGGAGGGGGAGGGGTAGAGGGAGGGAGGGGGAGGAAGGAAGGGAGGGGGGAGAGGGAAAGAGAGGGGGAGGGGTAGAGGGAGGGGGAGGGGAGGGAGAGGGAAGGGAGGAGAGGGAGAGGGGAGGGGTAGAGGAGGGGTAGAGGAGGGGAAAGAGAGAGGGGAGAGGGGGAGAGGAGAGAGGAAAAAACTAGATAGAGAGGTGGTAACGCAGCGGAAAGGGAGAGGGACATAGAGTGGAATTAATGGAGTGGAGGGGAAGAGGGAGAGGGGGTCAGAGAGAGAACACGAGAGAGACGGAAAGAGGTAAAGGGAGAGAGAAAAAGTTTTTTTTGGAGTGAGATACAGAGAGAAGACAGGGAGGGAGAGGGAGAGAGATAGAGATAAAGAGAGACGAGAGGGTGGGGAAGGTTAGAGAGAGAGGAGACAGAGAGGAGAGAGAGAGAGAGAGAGAGAGGAGAGGAGAGAGAGAGAGAGAGAGAGAGAGAGAGAGAGAGAGAGAGAGAGAGAGAGAGAGAGAGAGAGAGAGAGAGAGAGAGAGAGAGAGAGAGAGAGAGAGAGAGAGAGAGAGAGAGAGAGAGAGAGAGAGAGAGAGAGAGAGAGAGAGAGAGAGAGAGAGAGAGAGAGAGAGAGAGAGAGAGAGAGAGAGAGAGAGACAGACAGACAGACAGACAGAGCAAGAGAAAGAGAGAGAGAAAGAAATAAAGATCAACAGATAGATAAACAGACAGACAGAGAGAGAAAAAATGAAAAAACAAACAAACACAAACCAAATGAAGAAAAGCAACAAGACCGCACCCTCCGAGATGACGTCACAAGATACACACCAAGGAGGGGGGCGTGGCCAACCTGGTTCATGTTCGGTTAAATATAGATACCTTGTTTATCACGAACTGCTATGTGTTCTGCAGCTCGAGGCGTGGGTGGTTGAGCTTCCGCACGCTTGGGTCATGTGACTCTGGGGTATTTCTGGTGTCTTTTAAAGGGTATGTTTGTGTTTGTGTGTGTGTTTGTTTGTGTGGGTGTTTGTATGTGTGTTTGTATGTGTTTGGTGTGTGTGTTTGTTTGTGTTTGTGTGTGTGTTTGTTGTGTGGGTGTTTGTATGTGTGTTTGTATGTGTTTGTGTGTGTGTTGTTTATGTGTGTGTTTTGTATGTAGTTTGTGTTTGTGTGGGTGTTGTGTGTTTTTACGTAGTATCTATGTTTGTTTGTTGGTGGTGTGTGTGTGTGTGTGTGTGTGTGTGTGTGTGTGTGTGTGTGTGTGTGTGTTGTGTGTGTGTGTGTGTGTGTGTGTGTGTGTGTGTGTCGCTCGCGTGTACATGTACTTACCTTGGGTATACCTCCATAAAACCCAATTACCACCAACACCTCCATAAGAAACCCGATTCACAAAACCCTTTTAACACCCCGGTTTTCCCCAGACCCCCTCCCCCTCCCCCCAGGGCCAAGGTCAGGACCCAGAGTGGGCGTGTGGGCGGGGAGGGAAGACTCTCTCTCTCCGTGGGCGCCCTCAGTGTGGCGCCTACTGGGTGTTGGTCAGCAGGGGCGTGGAGTGTGGTGTGGCTTCGTGTTAATAAGTTTATTTCTATTACCTCCTTCGGGATTTTTTTTTTTGGTCGTGTTGGTTAGTTTGTTGGTTAGTTAGGTTAGTTAGGGGAATGACTCAGGAAGTTATAAACAGATTATTATTATTCATTATTATTTTTATTTTTTATTCATTTTTTAATTATTATCATTATTACATTATCATTATTGTTGTTATTATTATTATTATTATTATTATTATTATTATTATTATTATTATTATTATTATTATTATTATTATTATTATTCATCATCATATTCATCATCATTTATTTTTTTTTTTCTTTTTTTTTTTTATTATTTTATTTATTATTTTAGAAAGGAAACACGGAAACACTCGAGAAAGAAGGATTTTATTGCAATTCTTCAAGTGTGAATATTTTTTATTGCAACAGTGACGCAATTGCCTCGGCGGAGGTATGCGTTCTCTGAGTGCTTCTGGTTATCATTGCAGTTATAGTGGTGATGATAATGATAATGATAATGAAGATGGTGAAAATATTGCTACTATTGATAGATGATATATAGCAATGATTGATAATGATGATGATGTGATGTGATAATGAATAATTAATTAGTAAATAATGGTTACAAAGGCTGTAATGATAATGATTATAGTGATAATAGTGATTATTGTTATTAACTATTATTATTGTTATTACCATTATCACTACTATTATTATCATCATCATCATTATCAACATTACCGTTATCATCATTTGCAATGCATGTACTCATTATTACCATAGTTATTATTTAGTTATTATGATTATGATCATTACTATTACTATTACTATTTCATGTACTGCTTCGTATAATTTTATTATTATTATTATTATTATTATCATTATTATTATTATTATTATTATTAATTATTATTATCATTATCATTATTATTATTATTATTATTATATTTATTATTATTTATTATTTATTTATATTTATTATTATAATTTTACGTAAGAACTGACTTAATTACATAACTTTGATGACGTGTGGACATAGTTATTTTCCTCATCAAGAATAATCCAAGCTTCATTACGGTTTTCTGAATTCAAGATTGGATGAAATAAAACGAAAACATCAGCATGGAATCGAAGGAAGGTTGGTAATAATCATAATAATTATAAAATATATATATTTATATGTTTTTATGGTGATAATTTGGATGATGTGAGGAGAGAGAGGGGGGGGGAGGGAAGGAAGGAAGGAGGATAAGGAAGGAGGGAGGGAGGGAGGGAAGGAGGGAGGAAGGGAGGGAGGGAGGAGGAGGGAGGGAGGGAGGGAGGGAGGGAAGGAAGGAAGGAGGGAGGAAAGGAAGGAAGGAAGGAAGGAGGAGAGTAAGAGGAAAAAGGGAAGAAGGGAGGAAGGAAGGAAGAAGGAAGGAAGGAAGGAAGGGAGAGTTGAAGGAAAAGAAGTGATGGTGGGTGAATGTGGTGGGACTTCTAATCAGCTGTTTGTTGGTTTTGTTGATTAGATAAGAAGAGTGATTTTATCGTATTTCATGTAGTAGTATATGTTGTAGTGGTAGTAACATAAATTATTTATCTTATTATTAGTTATTATTAATATTATTGTGTTATTGTTGTTATATTATTTTATTATTATTATTATTTTATTATATATTATTATTATTATTATTATCATTATTATTATTATTTATTATTGTCAACCATTTTTTTTTTTTTGCTCAGTGATGACAAGGACATTACAGTAACTACAAAAGAAAAAAAATAATTAGATTAATTAGTTTTGGTAGTTTGATAAAAAAAGCTTCTTAATAACATCAATTTGAATTATAACGACGGAAAAAAAAATAACAAAAGGTCTTAAATAGGTAACCTAATTATCAATGATAATCATACCAACAACAGATAAAATATCAAATCTTCTCCTTGATGAATGTAATTAAAAAAAAAAACGGGTTAAAGGAACCGGAAGTGCCTTTTTTTCTTCTTTTTATCAAGAAGTAAAAACAAATGAAGATCAAGGCATTATAATTAGAAAGTGGAAGATTTAACTACAACGTGAACACATAAACCTTGTCTGGTGTGTTCAGTCAATTTATTTAAATGGTACGAGGCCCGACCTAATGAATATTTACATATATATGGACATATATACATATACGTAGAAATAAGTGCACATCTGTCTATCTGTCTGTTTATCTGATAGATATGCATTTATGTGTCGATCTGTCTCCTATGTATGCCTGTGTAGAGTGATAGATATGTATTTATTTATGTGTTTATGCCTGTTCGTGTATGAGAATATTAACCAGGTCGGGTAAGGCAACACATTATGTAAATAATTTAATTTTTTCCCCTCCCTCCCTCTCTCCTCTCTACCTTCTCTCTCACGTTCTTCCGTTCTTCCTTCTTTCTTTCCTTCTCTTCTCCCTCCAAATTTCCCTTCCTCCCTCCGTCATTTCTTCTTCCTTCCTATAACCTTCCTCTCTTTCCTTCCTCTTTTCCTCCATTCTTTCTTCCTTTCCTTCCTCCCTCCCTCTCTACCATCCTTCTTTTCCCTTCCTTCCTCCTTCCCTCGCTCCTACCTCCCTCTCTCGCTTCCTCCTCCCCTCCGTCCTTCCTTCCCTTCCTCCTCCCTACTTCCCTCTCTACCTTCCTCCTTCCTTCCTCCCCTCCCTCCTTACTTCCCTCTCTACTTCCCTCTCTACCTTCCTCCCTTCCCTTCCTTCCTCCATTCTTCCTTCCTTCCCTACCTCCCTCTCCCTTCCCTCTCCTTCCTTCCTTCCTTCTCTCCCGTCCTGACAAGCACACACACATGAAGATTAAGGTATTTTAATTAGAAGGTAAAAAAAAATATTTAAAAATTCACGTGAAAGCATAAATTCATATAGTCTATGAGGTACACACATACACACACCTGTACGGAAATGCACAAGGAAGTCATACGTACATGTGTGTGTATACGCTAGTAAATTCCTTTTCGTTTATATTTAATCCTGTATTTACACTTGTGCATAAATATACGAGCGTACATACACAAAGACACCTAGATAGACAAATAGACAGACAAACACATACAGATAATGACACAGACACAGACACACCCTCCCTGCATACCCACAATTCCACATTTTCCTCACATACCCATATCCTCCCCACATACCCGCATCCTGCCCAATACCCACATCCTGCTCACATACCCTATCCTCCTCGTATATCCTGCACATACTACATCTCCTCGCAAACCCACATCCTGCCACATACCACATCCTCCCCACATACCCACATCCTGCTCACATACCCACATCCTCCCCACATACCAATCCTGCCCACATACCCACATCCTGCACCCCCACTACCTCCTCACATACCCACACATCCTGTCCACATACCCCATCCTCACATACCCACATCCTGCCCACACATCCTGCCCACATATCCACATCCTGCCCATACACCACATAAATACCCGCATCCTCCCATACATCTCCATCCCACATACACATACATACAATCCTGCCACATGGTCGCTAGCACTTGCCCAACTCTTGACTGGCCTCTTGTGCCCCAGTGCCAACATGGACGTCAATCTCACATAATATTTTTACTAGAGGTCTGGTAACTGATCTGATGGTGGTGCCACATCAGATAGGAGGGGAGGGAGGGGAGGGGAGGGGGGAGGGGAGGGAGGGGGGATAGACGGAAGGAGAGAGGAAGAGAGGGAAGGAAGGAAGGAAGGGAGGAAGGAAGGGAGGAGGGAGGGAGGGAGGAAAGAATAGATGGGAGGTGGGAGGAGGGAGGGAGGGGAGGAAGGGAAGGAGGGAGGAGGGAGGATGGATGAGAGAGGAAGGAGGAAGAAGGGGAGGGATGAAGAAGAAATTATGAGTGATGAATGAATGAAGGAAGAAAGGGAGGAGGTAAGTGAAGGAAAGAAGTTAACACGAAAGGAAAGGTAGGAACTACCTACCTACCTTTTTACCTACAATTTTCATCTTTATTTACATCGAGAAGAAGAAGAAAAGAAAAAAAACACCCTCCACTTTTTCTCTTCCTCCCACTTCCAGGCCTCAAGGTGGAACTCCAGTACTCCAAGAACGAGGTTGAACTGCACAAGATGAGACTCCAGAGACTCGAGGAGGACCTTGAGGCAGCGAAGGAGAAGAATCAGTCACTTCAAACACAACTCGCAGCTGAAAATAGTAAGTGTAGATAAGTGATGATAAGAAATGAATGATAAAGGTGTGAATGACGTATTTTATGATAAGTGAGAATTAGTGGTGAAAATGATGATGATTATGTAAGTATTTGATGATAAGTAAGAAATAGTGGTGAAAATGATGACAATTATGTAAGTATTTGGCGATAAGTAAGAATTAGTGGTGAAAAAGATTTTGTAAATTTTTGACGATACAGGAGAGACAATGGTGCAAATGATGATGATTATGTAAATATTTGATGATTAATGAAAAGCTGTGGTGTAAATAATAAAGATAATTCAAATATTTGGCAATATAGGAGAGACAGTGGTGTAAATGATCGTAAATAATGTAGATATTTTATGATGCATGAGATATGGTGGCGTAAATGATCTAAATATTTGGTGATGCTTGAGAAATGATGGTGTAATGATGTAAACAATTGAAATAGTTGTGGAAACGTGGCAAATAATGATATGAGAGAAAGTAGTGTAAATGATAAAAATAAGTAACAGTAATACATAGAAAATAACGAAAAGGAGAGATGTTTGATATATAAGAGAGAGTAATGTACATGTTCTAAATCAATAATGGTGATACATAGGAAATATGAAATAGTGAAAATAGGACAAGAGATGATGGATGAGAGAAAGTGTTAGAAATTATGTAAACAAATGGTGGTGATCTATAAGAAAAAAATTGACGTTAATGATGAATAAGTGGTGATGTTTGGGATAAATTGATTTATTGATTATTTAAAGCACTTATTAAAGCATGTTATGGCGATACGATGATTAGACCTTACGGTGGAGTTATGAGTAATTAATTATGATGAGAATATGGTAATTGTAATAACGATTTTGATGATGATTAATGATGATAATGAAGCATATTACGGTTCATTCATAAATTCGATTATTGATGAATACCACACTAACCACCATCGTAATTAACGGACAATTATTCATTACATTACTACATCAACCGAACATCAACAACCGAGGAACAAAAAAGAACTGAAAAAAAAAGAAAAAGAAAAAGAAAATCAATCATCATCTTTTTTGCTTCCATCACCAGCATTCACCCACACAAGCAACAAAAAACTGCAACAAAAACAATAAAAAAAACAGCAAAAACAAACAACATCACGTATAACAAAAGCATCATCAACAACATCAGAAACAGAAACACCAGCAGCAACAACACAAAAACAACAAAAACAACCACCACAATACAATAACCAAAGCAACCACAACCAATAAAAAAAAAAAAAAAACACATCTACAACACCATCACCCTCTCACCACCCCATTACCCCCCACCCACCCAATCACCAACCAAACAACAAACCCACCCACTCAACCCCTTCTTTTTTTCTCTCTCCCCCCCTCCCCTCCCCACCCCCCACTCCCCCCACCAACAGAGAGCGACCGAATTGAAGAGCTCGAACTCCGACTCCGGTGATGGACGAGCGGCTGAGAGCTGGCCAACAGGACAAGGAGAAACTCAACAAACAGATCCTCGAGATGGAGGCTGAGAGAGAGGAGATCAAGATTATCCAGGATGTGAGTTTTTTTTTTTTGAGGGGGGGGTTGGGGGGAGAGGGTGGGTGGGGATGGGGGTGGGAGGTAGGGTAGGGGTGGGAGAGAGGGAGGGGGTGGGAGGGGGGTCGAGGGAGGTGGGAGGGTGTTAGAGGGGGGAAGGGGGGGAAGGGGTGAGGGTGGGGTGGGTGGGTAGAGGGGGAAGGGTGAGGGGTGAGGGTGGGGGGATGGGGGTAGGAGTGAAGGTGTGTAGGGGTTAATGGTTTGTTGTGTTTTTTTTGCCTTTCTTTTTCTAGATTTGTTTCTTTCTCTCGCCTCCTCTCTCTCTCTCTCTCTCTCTCTCTCTCTCTCTCTCTCTCTCTTCTCTCTCTCTCTCTCTCTCCTCTCTTCTCTCTCTCTCTCTCTCTCTCCCTCACCCTCTCTCTCTTCTTTTTCCTTTTTTTCTCTCTTTCTCTCTCCCTCTTCCCCTGATCTTCTTCTCCTATCATAATATTCTCTCTCCCATACCCCCGTCCTATCCATGAGAAAGAGAAAGAAAAGAAAGAAAGAAAGAAAGAAAAAAAAAACGTAAGATTATAGAAAAAACATGTCAAACGTTCTCAGTTTTTTTCAATCAAAAGCAAGGTTTCAGGGATACAAAAAAATACATTTATTAGGTCTGGTAGGTCATGGATCTTGGCTTGAGATGTATTTCGTATTGTTTATTTTATTTTTGTGATCTGTGGTCTCTTATTATTATTTTTCCGAGTTTACATTTGCTTTTTTTATTATTGGAAAAACTAGGCTATGTGGAAGATATTTTTGTTAGGATAATTTATTTTTATAGGTGTAAATGTCTTCTTTTTCATATTGTCCTTGTTTTCTGATAATTATTTTTTTTTTGTGTTGTGAAAATCTTTCATACTCTGCCTTTCTTTCTGTTTATGTTTTTTTGCTGTCTCTCCCCGTCCCTCTTTTTTTCCCTTCCTCTCTCTCCTTCTCTCTGTCTGTCTGTCTCTCTCTTCTGTCTGTCTCTGTCTCTGTCTCTGTCTCTGTCTCTGTCTCTGTCTCTGTCTCTGTCTCTGTCTCTGTCTCTGTCTCTGTCTCTCTCTGTCTCTCTCTCTCTTCTCTCTCCTCTCTCTCTCTCTCTCTCTCTCTCTCTCTCTCTCTCTCTCTCTCTCTATCTCTCTCTCTCTCTCTCTCTGTCTCTCTCCTCTCCCGCTTTCCCTCTCTCCCTCTCCCCCTTCCGTCCTCCTTCCCTCCATCCCTCCCGCCCTCTCCCCCTCTATCTCTCCACTATCTTCTCTCTCTCTTAACTTCCCCTCTCTCTCTTTCTTTTCATTTTCTCTCTCTCTCTCCTCCCTCTTCCCCTTATCTCCCTCTCCTGTCATAATATTCTCCCTCCCATACTCCGGCTATCCCCTCTCTATCTCTCCCACGCCATTTATCCCCCCCCCCTTTTCTATCTCTCTTTCTTTTTCCTCTTTCTCTTCTCTCTCTCTCCCCCCCTCTTCCCCTTTTTTCCTCTCCTATCATGATATTCTCTCTCCCATACTCCGGCTATCCCCTCTCTATCTCTCCCACGCCATTTATTCCCCCCTTTTCTATCTCTCTTTCTTTCCCTCTTGCTCTCTCTCTTTTATTTCTCCCCCTCTTCCCCTTATCTCCCTCTCCTATTCATGATATTCTCTCTCCCATACTCCGGCTATCCCCTCTCTATAATCTCCCACGCCATTTATCCCCTCCCCTTTCTATTCTCTCTTTCTTTCCCTTTTCTCTCTCTCTTTTATTCTCTCCCTCTTCCCCTTATCTCCTATCATGATATTCTCTCTCCCATACTCCGGCTATCCCCCTCTCTATCTCTCCCACGCCATTTATCCCCTCCCTTTCTATCTCTCTTTCTTTTCCCTTTTCTCTCTCTCTTTTATTCTCTCCCTCTTCCCCTTCTCCTATCATGATATTCTCTCTCCCATACTCCGGCTATCCCCCTCTCTATCTCTCCCACGCCATTTATCCCCTCCCTTTCTATCTCTCTTTCTTTTCCCTTTTCTCTCTCTCTTTTTATTCTCTCCCTCTTCCCCCTTATCTCCTATCATGATATTCTCTCTCCCATACTCCGCGCTATCCCCTCTCTATCTCTCCCACGCCCATTTATTCCTCCCCTTTCTATCTCTCTTTCTTTTCCTTTACTCTCTCTCTTTTCTCCTCCCTCTCTCTTCCCCTTAATCTTCCTATCATAATATTTTCTTCTCCATACTCCGGCTATCCCTCTCTATCTCTCCCACGCCATTTATCCCCCCCCTTTTTCTATCTCTCTTTCTTTTCCTCTTTCTCTCTCTCTCTCCCCCTCTTCCCTTTTCTTCCTCTCCTATTATGATATTCTCTCTCCCATACTCCGGTATCCCCTCTCTATCTCTCCCACGCCATTTATCCCCCCCTTTTCTAATCCCTTCTTCCTCCTCAGGCCCTGGACGAAGCAGCGGCTGAGCGGGAAGAACTGATCGCCACCTTCGAGAAAGAACTGCAGAACATGACGACGATGAACAGCACGCGAGAACAACAGCTGATGGAGGACTTCGAGTGGAAACTGAGGGAAATGGAGAAGGACCATAAGAAGAAACTCGAGGAGAGGGAGAGGAAAGCAGAGGTAAGGGAATGGAGGAGGAGAAGGAGGAGGAGGAAGGGGGAGGTGGGGGAAGGGTGGAGGAGAAGGAGGTGGAGGAGAAGGAAAAGGAAGGAAAAGGAGGAGAAAAGGAGAAGGAGAAGGAGGAAAGGAGGAAAAGATGATAATGATGTACATGAAGAAAGATTAAGGGATTTTTTGGGTTCAGTTGGTCACCAAAAGAATTAAATTTGGTGAAAATGAAAAAGAAAAAAAGAAAAAAAAATCTCGTTTGTGTATTCCATGTTTTTTTTTTAATCTCCAAAATAGTATCAACACGAAAAAGTTTTTTTTTTTTTTTTTTTTTTTTTTTTTTTTTTTTTTTTTTGCTATTCTGAATGAAATGTGAAAGGAGAAGTATTAATATTATATCACATTTTTATTTCTTTACTATTTGTTGTAATTTGTATTACCTAGTTTGATTAGATGGATAAATCCTTAGTCCATAGGCCTACAAAGAAAGTACAATTTATAGGACTAATATGAAAACGAAAGTGATAATAGAACTCTGAAAGGAAATTGCGAAAAGGAGACAGAAGAAAAAGCTAAGAAGAACATGAAGAAGAAAATGCATTGAAAAAATAGATAAATGATAATGATGATATACACACACACACACACAGCACACGCACACGCACACGCAACACGCACGCACACGCACACGCACACGCACACGCACACGCACACGCACACACGCACACGCACACGCACACGCACACACACGCACACACACACACACACACACACACACACACACACAACACACACACACACACACACACACACACACACACACACACACACAACACACATACACACACACATTGATAATAATGATAAGGAGAAGAAGAATAAGGAGGCAGAGAATAAAAAGAAGAAGGAAGGAGAAAGGAGAAGGAGAAGGAGAAGGAGAAGAGAAGGGAAGGAAGAAAGGAGAAGAGGAGGGGAAGAGAAAAAGAAAGATAAAGGAAAAGAAGAAGAAGGAGCAGAAAAAGGAGTAGGAGAAGAAGTAGAAGTAGAAGAAGATGAAGATAAAGATGAAGAGGAAAGAGAAAAAGAAGAAAAGAAGAATAAGAAAGAGAAGAAGAAGAAGTAGAATTAGAATAAAAATAGGAATAAGCAGAAAAAGAAGAAGAAAAGTAAAGAACAGGAAAGAAAAAACCGAGAAGAAGAAAAAAGAGAAGAAAAAGAAGAAAAAGATGGAGAAAAAGAGAGAAAGGAAAACTCCATACAATTTGAGAAAAGTTTTCCCTTTTGCAAAGCGAAATTATCGTGCGTTTGGCATCGGAAATCAGAAAACCCTTTTAAGCAAATCTTCATTTTTCTTCGAGACGAAAGAGAGAGAGAGAGAGAGAGAGAGAGAGAGAGAGAGAGAGAGAGAGAGAGAGAGAGAGAGAGAGAGAGAGAGAGATAGAGGAGAGAGAGAGAGAGAGAGAGAGAGAGAGAGAGAGAGAGAGAGAGAGAGAGAGAAAGAGGGGGGGGGGAGAGGGGGAGAGAGAGAGAGAGAGAGGGGGCGGAGAGAGAGAGAGAGAGAGGAGAGAGAGAGAGAAGAGAGAGAGAGAGAGAGAGAGAGAGAGAGAGAGAGAGGAGAGAGAGAGAGAGAGAGAGAGAGAGAGAGAGAGAGGGAGATAGAGATAAAAGAGGAAGAAGAAAGAAGAGGAGAAAGAATATGCAAAAAAAAAAAAAAAAAGAAAAGAAAGATAATTGCGTTTGAATGTGTGAAATCATTTTTCTCTTTGACGTAAAAGTATTTGGCGAAGAAAGAAAGAGATAAAAAAGAGGAAGAGGAGGAAAAGAAGAGGAGGAATGAAGAGGCTAAAAAATGATAATTGCGTTTGAATGTGTGGAAGGAAAAGAGAGAAGGAAAAAAAACGTAATAAAAAAGAAAAATAAAGGAAATGGGAATACGTATTTCCAGCTTGAAAATTTGAATTTTTTTTTATTATTTTTTTATATTAAGTGAAATTATTTAACTCGTTCTTGTTTGATGAATTTTGAGTTAATTAATAACACGAATTGAAAATTAGGTTTTACGAATCTGTTATTTTACTAATTATTCTTTTCTTTTTTTATTGATATATATTTTTTCGTTTTTGATAATTTGTTGAATTTGCTGTTGATGAAAAAAAAACTGATATTGTTTCGAAATTGCAAAAAAAAATGAAAGCAAATATGAATTAATGAAAGAAAAAAAAAATGAAGAAGGAATCACACGGGTGAGTAACGAGTGAGTTAAGGTCCGCCTATTTATGAGTAACGAATGAGGAGACCTTCTCGTGAGTGAGGAGCTGCTGGGACTCATAAATCTTTATTTTAATGAGAGATATATATCAAGGGCAAATTATGAGAGTTTCCTTGCATCCAGGGAACGCTACTCATTTATTAAAGAATAATGAGATTTTTTTTTTTTCGTTTTATTTTTGGTAAAGAATGAGTTGAATCTTGTCTGTGAGTAAAGAAGTAATTTTACTCATGAATGGAGAGTGAAAAACGTGTCTCCTGTTCATGGTTGATGGATGAGTAAAGCCTGTTACTCATCTCATTCACGAATAAATGAGTGTATCCACGCAGCTCCTCATTCACGGTAAAAAAAAAAAAACTCTCCGACCCCCCCCCCCCCACCCCACTAATGAGTAAAGACCCCCACCCCCTCTCCCATTCCCACTCATGAGTTAAGTGTCCCCAAAAGCCCCTCACTCACTCCCCCTCCCCCAGCCCCTTTACCCTCCCTCCACCCGAAAGCCCCTTACTCACTTCCCTCACCCCCAGAGCCCCTCTTCCCCGTCCCCCTCCCCCAAAGCCCTCACTCCCTCCCCTCCCCCCAAAGCCCCTCACTCCCGCCAACCCCCCTCACTTACCCCCTCCCCTTCCCCAAAGCCCCAAACTCACCCCCTCCCTCCCCTAAAAACCCCAAACTCACCCCCTCTCCCCCCTCCCTCCTAAAACCCCTCACAGCTTCCCCCCTCCCCCCAGCCCCCCATTCCCCCTAACTCACCCCCTCCCTCCCCAAAGCCCTTACTTACCCCCCCTCCCCCTCCCCATCCCCTCCCCCAGCACCCCATTCACCCCCCCAGGCCCCATTCACCCACCTCCCCCACGCCCCCCCAACCCAACCCCTCCCCTCCCACCCTCCCCAACCCCCCCATTCTCCCCCACATCCCGCCCCACCCACCCCACCCCAACCCCCCCAACTCACGCCCACATCCTGCTGAACCGCCTCCTCGGACGCCCCTACCCCCCCCAGGAGAGGATTAAGACAGTGAGAAACATGGTCGAGTCCGAGCTGGCCGATTCGATCACCAAGGTCGCCGAGGAGAGAAGAATCGCCGACGAGCAGATGTGCGAGGTGGTGTCCCTTTTTTTTTTTTTTTTTTTTTTTTTGGCTGGGTTTTTTTTTTTTTTTTTGGATGGGGGGGGGGCTGGGGATGGTGTTTGTGTGTGTGTTGTTGATTTTTTTTTTTGGGTCGTTTGTTTTTTTGGTTCGTGTGTGTTTTTTTTTTTTTTTTTTTGGTTCGTGTCCGTGTAATTTTTTTTGTCGTTTTGGTCCGTTTTTGTCCGTTTTTTTGTCGTTTTTGTTCGTGTCGCGTAGATTTTTTGGTCGTTTTTTGTTCGTGTCCGTTTTTTTTGTCGTTTTTGTTCGTTTTGTTTGGGTCGTGTTCGTTTTCATGTGTTCTTGTGTTGTGTCGTTTGCATGGTCTTTTTTGTGTCGTGTCGTCTATGTGTCATGTGTCGTATTTCAAAGCATGGGCATGTGTGGTGTGGTGTTTTTTTTTTCGTTTTGTTTTTGTTTTATTTTGCAGAAGGAGAAAATAGAAAACGCTCGTTGTGGTTGAATGTTTTTTCTTTCCGTTTTCCACATTTCAAAATTTTTTTTCTCGTTTTTTTTTGTTTGTAAAATGTGGCATAAGGAATCTGATTTTAGCTTGTTTAGTAAATAGATAATATATGTACACGTTATCGTATATATACAGTATATATATATATATAATATATATATATATATATATAATATATATATATATATATATATATATATTATATATATATATATATATATTATATTTATATATACATAATTTATTCTTATTCTTGGTTTACTTTAATTTCTTTATTTCTATTTCTATATCTATTTGCACTTGGAACTTCAGATTCCTTATGCTTACGAAGTTAAACAAGAGAGATAACAAGTGAAAAGAAATAAATAAACAAATAAATCAAAGTAAGAAATAATTAGTCTTAATCTTTAATTGATATTATTATTATTTTTTTATTTGTTTTAATCATTGTGATAATCTAAGATGGAAGTCAAGAAGGAAGGAAGTTAATTATTAATATTAACCTTAAATTGATATTTAATTTTCTAAAATCTATCTTCATTAGTGTGATTATAGGAAATCAAGAAGGATTTTTATTTGTTATTTCTCTAAAATACTTCTATGAATCCGATTTATTTTGAGTTATTTATTTAATTCAGAAGTTAGACACTAAAATTATATATTACTTTGAAGCTTGGCCTTTTAAAATTCACTTCACACATCTTTCGGTTTGTCCTTCGTTCTAAAGTATGTTTTAAATATTCAATTAAACAAAATTATTGCTTTGAACAAATATTGAGATAAAAGATAAAATTATGGAAGGAAGACAGAAAGAAAAATGAGAGAAAAAAAATCGGATATCAAATTGATATTAAGAATATTCGATATCAAAAATACTTTGATAATTACTCGACATGTTTCGATAGCTTTATAATAAAGAATAAATGCTTTATTACGACCCAAATTAGTATCGAAAACAACAATAATAATAAAAAGAATATAAAGCGATAGTTTATTCACAAGACAAAATAATTAATTCTAAAATCAACCAATTACATAACTAGAAATAATTAATGAAATCTTGATTACTTTTAGACAAAATGACAGATACTTTAAAAAGTTTTATTAATAAGTTCTCGCGTAGAATAAGGACTTTTTTTAAAATCAAGT